TCACTAGGTTATAAATTATTAATATTTTACATTCTTTTTCTAAAAAAACCATTTTTTATTGTATTGTTCATGGTTTAACTTGAAATCAAAACATTAACATGAAATAAAAAATTATAAATTTTCACTACTTTCTCTAACTAAGTTCAAAGAATCCAAACCATTTCATCCTAAAATCTCTACCAAGATATATTGATTTTCAAAATATATTGATTTTTTTAACTTAATTTTAATTATTTTATATCAATTTTATAAAAGATTTTTTGGGCATCATGGGCTATAAAAAATAAAGGATAACAAAGTTGGTTAAAAATTAAAATATTTATTTTTTATTCATCCAAGTTTTATTAGCTAAAAAGCTATCACAACTTTTTATATATAGAAAAAAATATAAAATAACAAAAAGACAAAACAAAAATATTTTTAAATAGACTACAAAAATGTAATAATATCGACTAAAAAATTTCTTAAGTTAAACAATAATAAATAAAAATAAAAATTTATTTAAAAAAATCTCATATTTGTTATATCAATTAACATTAATGATAGATTAACCTAGTTTGAAATGAAACTTTTTAATGGAAAGGAAAGAGGTTAATTTGTAACCTCTGTTGACTTCCGAGTCTTATCCCAAAGTCTCCTCCCAAAAATTATAATTTTTTTAAAATTAACTTACTATTTTAATTTTATTTTTAGAAAAATCCGATATTATTCCTTTAATAATTACATCCTTTCAACTTTATTTTATGACTTCATCCCCATTCAAGTAAAAAGATATTAATGATATTTAATATTTATTACTCTCCTTTCTCTTTTCTATCCAAATAAAAAAAATATTTATCCTTCATTCCTCATTCTTTTTTTTTTATTCAAACAAAAAAGGATAAAACCTTTCTCACCACATCCCTTCCTCTTGGACTCTTATCACAATTTCCCCCACCAAGAAAATAAATGTGAATCTTTTATCAAATTATATATAATAGCTTATAGATAAAAGACTGATTCAATCATAATATTTAATGATAAACCACTAATTTATCAATATGAAAAGGGTATTATTTTAAAAGATAATTAATTTAAAAAAATCTAAAAATTAGTATTAGAGATTCGAATTTTCATTTGTCATAATATCAAAAAGAAATATAAATTTTAACTTTATTCAATAATAGTAAATTCATATTCAATTATTATTTAACTAGTTGCCACTAAATATATATTTGAAATTACGGTAACATTTGCTTTTAGTTATTTTTAAAATCATATTTGTTTTAAAAGTATTTTTTTAATATTTTTTTGATAATTTTAATATGATGTTATTAAAAATATTAAAATCTATAAAAAAATTATTTAATATAATTTTTAAAAAATATTTTAAATTTTTTTTTGCATCACAATAATAAACATACAAATGTTTAGAGAAAAAAAAATCAGGAAAAGAAGAAGAATAAGAAGAAAAATTCTTGAAATTTGCAGCCTCCTTTATCTGGGTCTATCTGATCAGTAACGGGCCAACTGTCCATCTCCTTTCTTTCTTTCTTCTATCTGATCAAGAACCCCTTGACCAGCAAAGAGCACTATGACGGGTCGACCGCATCGCCACCATGCAAATGCTTCCTCAAGAAACAAGAAGGGGAAGCCGGAAGCCACTGAATGCTATATATCAAGGCTTCCTGACGACATGCTCAGGGTCATCTTTTGCAAACTCCCAATCGGAATGCTTCTAAATGATTGCAAGTATGTTTGCAAGTCATGGAGAGCTATTCTCCGAGACCCTGATTTTGGCAATCTTTACCTATCCCTTAAAGAACCCTCCGCCTTGTTTCTCTGCATGAAAGACTACACAACCCTCCACTGGCTTGAATTTCAAGGAGAACGTTGCTTCTTTAATCCTGTTGCCAACTTCATCAAGAAATATCAGCTTGTCAATTCTTGCAAGGGATTGCTTTATTTGCGTGAATATAGGTCTAGAAATCCTTATTTTGACGATCTCGTAATGTACATTTTGAATCCTGTCACGGGGGAGTATATGTGTGTCCCACCTGCTGAAGTGGGGAGGGATTTGGAGACGGAGTTAAGTGGACTTGGTTTTAGCCCCCAAACCAATGAATTTAAGGCTATTAGAATTTACAAGCTAGATGTGAAGAACGATTTGCAAGCCGATGTGTATACACTTGGCAATGGCAGTTGGAAAACTGTTGGGACTGCCCCAGATATTTTGGAGTCTTGTTTGTTTTACCATTGGGGTTATATGAAAGCATTTGTCAGTGGTGCGTTTCACTGGCTTCTCGTGGGTATGGATGATGATTTGGATCAAATAATCACTTTTGATTTTGAAACTGACCAATTTGGGTCGATTGCATTGCCTGAAATTGTTGAATTCGAGGGCTATCAAGTATTCAATCTTGGGGTTTTGGAAGACTCTATTTATTTCTGCGGTCATGACAAGATTGAAAGTGCAGAGTCTAGGGAGATATGGGTAATGCGACAGTATGGTGTTGTGGAGTCATGGACTAAAATGTTTATCATTGATAACGAAGTTGGGGTTCAGAATCCGTTTATTTTCAGAGCGATAGCTGTCTTCGATGATGGAGATATTTTGTTGTTATGGGATAAAACTCTGGTTTGGTATGATCAAGAAACTGATAGTTACACATTGCTGAGTATAGAAGGAAGAGCAATTGTTCATGAACTGAGGTTTGCTTTGCTCGAAGATGATGCAAAGGGAGATGGCCCAAAGGTATCCAGAGTCTGAAGCAGGAGAGTGCGAGATAAATGTGTGGACATCTCCTTTCGGATTCAAAATTTTGGCTTGCAATATCTTATACCCATCTATCACTGCTCAATATGGATGTATATCAGTGTTTTGGTTCTGACTCTTGGCTTGCAATATCTTATCCGCTTGCCCCCCCTTTTACCAATTAATAGCTATGAATCTCTCTCTTGGTTGAACTATAAATCTTTCTTTAATTCTTTGCAACAATGGAGCTCTGTTTGTTACTGATTGCATTTATTTGCCTGTGCGTTTTTCTTCTATCATTTCTTCATCTCTCCCATAATAACAAAAACTTGCCACCAGGGCCCCTTACCTTGCCCTTCCTAGGAAACTTTTCCAGGAATTTTTTTTCCTTGTAGCCTGTTCTTCGCAAACTATGTGCTCAACATGGCCCTGTCATTACTCTACACCGAGGATCCGAGCCTTCCATTTTCTTAACCATCCCTGAAGCTGCCCATATGGTGCCTGTACAGAGTGGTTCAACCTTTGCTAGTCACCCGCCAGCTCTCAGACCCCTGTCATGTCAAGCAACGAGACTACTGCTGTGACCACTGCACCTTATGGACCACAATGGCTCCAACTCCGTCAAAATTCCATGTCTGCTTTTCACCCTTCACGCTTACATTTGTATTTTGATTGTCGAAAATGGGCATTGAACATTCCGAGGAAAAAACTCCTAGAAGCTGCAGGACTGGACCACAAAGCAATTGTTGTTGTCAATCATTTTCAACGTGCCGTGTCTTGCTTGCTTATATATCTGTGCTTTGGTGATAAATATGAAGAGTGTTATTAGACATCACACCAGTGCACCGTGCAATAATCACAAAAAATTTTAAATTTAAATTTACTAATTTCATGCCTCAGTCGGGAAAGATTCTGTTTCACAAGTTGTGGAAAGAACTTCAAGAGGTTCGCTGTGAACCAGAGAACGTCCTCCTGCCTCTAATCGACGCACATCGAGAGAAAAGGCACAAGAAGTTAATGGATGAAGGAGAAGAAAGAATTTTGTCCTATGTTGCACCTTGACAGATTTTCAGTTTCCACATGGTGGAAGGAAATATTCGGATGAAGAATTGGTGAGTTTGTGTTCGAGTTTTTTCATGGCGGGACAGACAATTCAATAACTACATTGCAAAGTGCAATGGCTAATATTGTCAGCCACCAACACATACAATAAAACCTTGCTTAAAGAAATCAATGCTGCAGTAAAACCAGTAGAAGAAATCGAAGAGGAGGGTTTGAAGAGAATGTCTTGTTTGAAGCCTGTAATTTTGGAAACTCCTTGATGGCCCCCCTCAGTACACTTTACACTACGACATCGGGTCACGGAGGATACAAAATTAGAAGGTTACGATGTACCCAAAAATTCGATTATTAATTTCACGGTAGCAGACATTGCATGAGATGCAAATGTGGGGGAAGATCCAACGGAATTTAGACCAGAGAGGTTCTTAAAAAATGGGGACAATCGAGAAGTAGTTTATGATATGAAGGGTATAAAAGAGATCAAAATGATACCTTTTTTGTGCTGGTAGGAGAGCTTGCCCTGCTATTACAATGGCATTGCTTCACCGAGAATACTTCGTGGCCAATTTGGTTAGAGACTTTGCATGGACTGCTGAAAGTGGCTGTGACAATGATTTGTCAGAGAAACACGAAGAATCTGCCTCGTGTGCACATTTGTCCAAGATCATGTTAATATCAAAGCAATCTATATCTTGCTGCTTGCTCCTTGCTCCTTGGTTTTTCTTGGCACTTCAACTAGACTTTTTAGATGTGATTGAAGAAGATAGAGTGCATGCACTAAATTGTTTTTATATGACAACTGATAAGCCTTCATTTCATCAGATTAAAATCAACAGTAGCTTAGTCCAATGCTACTTATTCCTGTAATTAAGAGGAAAAAAAAGATTAAATCATGAGGGCATCACGTATACAATAAGTGTATGGTGCAAATAGAAATGTTAATCACATATTAACTGAAATGAAAGAAAAAAAATACTAAACTTGTATGAACATGCACCATTAGCTCCTACTAGCAAGCTCTAGGTTTCAGAAAATGCCAACCCTGCAGAAATTGGCGAAGGAAATCACATATTTACAGATACGGGTTCCTTTTTCTTTTCTTGGAAGCCTTAGGAAGATTGAAATGAAAACTATACAGGTTTTGTGCCAATCTGTATCCTATTCCTAGTAGAAGTTACCTAAATTTAGCAGAGTTGGAAACAGGTCATAATCGTCTGCTCTGATCGCTTGGCCAGCAAAGAAATCCAAAGGCAAGGATGAGGATGAGGTAGATGACGAAGCATGTGTTGAAAATGTTCAAAGCTTTCCAATCATTCCTCACTTGATGAAGATATCCAGCCTTGCAAGTTCCACAATCGTAACATAGAGTGTCATGGCCGTTCTTCCATGAAAGGCATCGATCACCTTTAGAACCCAAGCCTGATTTCGGAGCATCCCAGAACGTCGCATTCTTGAACTTGTACCCACAATTACTTGGTGGCATGCAGCAGCCTGACTGGAAAAGGAACAAAAAGAAATCGAGAAAGCATATATGTAAAACTTGAACATATCATTAAATTTAACAAACAATGTGATCATAAAGCCTTTGGTAATCAATAATCAGGCTGAGACGGAGATATTATGATACCTCAACAGGAAGCAACATCCCCAACAAGACATCGGGAGGTAAGGCAGACAATTTCTTGGCATACTCCTGACAAACTCTGGCCTTGATTAAACACTTCTTGATTCTGACCCATTTTTTTTCATTTACCATATGACCTTGCAACCATTCTGAAAAATCCCGAAGCCTACTCTGATCTGTACCTGAATCTGTCTCCTTGGGACCCTTATCTGTTACGAGTGAGGAGAATATTGTAAAACCTAAGAGAACAACTACAAGCAAAAACATTGCCCACAGATACACTCGGTGAAGAGGCGATGCTCGACAAAACAAAGCCATCAATCCGAGGACCGAGATAACCAAAAGAGCCACTCCTAAGATGAAGACTGGTACTTGTAAGAAGCTTGCACAATTCGCATTGCCATAGAAAGTGATGATTTCCCATGTTTTAGAAATTTGAACCACGATAGTCATTGAAATCAAGAGGGTTAGAATGTTTAAGAAGCAAAGAAAATAATCACCTTTTCTTGCCATTCCAATGACATTGTAGAATGAAATCCTGAAAGAAAGGAAATAATATAAGATGATGCTTGCACATTTGAGGCATCAAAAAAAAAAAAAAACTGGGAAAAAGAAAGAGAGCTGTAGGCTGATGGACAGGGATTTTTTGAAGGATTGTGCTGGAATAGATTGTATCTATGACCTATATTTGAACTGATCCCGTTATCATTTAGTTTTCTTTGTTTCCAAAATCCAATTTTGCTGTTGGTGATGTTGCTCCGTTGTCCACCTCACCCTATAAAAAGCACAGAGCCTATTTGTGGCCGTCCTGTCAGGCATTATGTAGAAGTATGAGGCCGGTTCTAGAACTACTGTTATTGTAATGTGCGTAAATGGCACCATCCACCCATCCATCATTTGTTCATCTCTCTGTGTCAAACCCATTCCGAGGAGTTCTGCTACATGCTCACCTGAAAAATATCATACATAGAGTGATTGCCTCTTCTCTCTATCTAATTTCCGTGCAAGTTTGGACTAACACCAATCATACAGTCTTGGTCCACGTGAGCTTGTTCTTGTGAGATCTTACCTGGTCTGCCGAGGAAAATTGATTGGTAAAATTTAAGACTCCACGATTATTCAAAGCAAAAAAAAGGGGGGGATTCTAAAGGAGTATTTGTTTAGAAATATGGCAGCAATAAAGTATTTTTTATTTAGAAATGTATTAAAATAAAATTTTATTAATTTTTTAAAAAATTATTTTTAACATTGATATATTAAAATAATTAAAAAACATAAAAAAAATGAATTTTTATAAATATGGTTTCAATGCAATTTTAAATTTGAAATTTGAACATTGTGTTTTAATTAGGATGCCCTCCAATAGAAAGTATTTTTTGGCATCTTGAAAATCAATGTAGAAGGTAGGAGGTTAATTTGTGCAATCCTAATTACTCCCAATTTTAGAAACAATCTAAACGAGGAATCATAATTTCAGATTTAAGGAAAAATCTCGACTGTTTCGCACTGAACTAGTCAGCAAGTAATTCAAAATACCAAAAGAAAAGCTTCCTTATTAGGAGGCACTAACAAGGGAAGAAAGAATGCCATTATAAACACGAAACCCTAGCCACCATATTACCAGGCAATGCCATCAACTAAAGGGGTCTTGGATCCTCTCATGTTCTTAAGAGCACAATAAGTTTCGTTCTTCAAATCCAAGCCCTTGGATCCAAAATCAATGGCTAAAGGGCCATTGCAGTTATACCATGAAAAATGAAAAGGAGAGGAAACCATATCAACCCCAGTCCCAGGGGTAGCAGAGATGATGCCCAAACTAAAGGAGGAGGAGATGATTTCCGGTCCATATCAGCATTACCCGTTCAAAACCTCGTCGATATACTCTCTAGGCTACCCTTCAAAACCATTTTCAGTTGCATGTGTGTCTGCAAGAAATGGAAGGATCTTATATTAGCCCCAGAATTTGCCAAACTGCACCACACTAGAGCACCTGCCTCTCTCATTCTTCGATCCCACAGACATGGACGTCGACTCAGACCTAGAAGCCTTTGCTTGCTCGATCTAGAAGCCTCGGATATATGCAGTCCTGATGCAGCAGTGAAGCTCAGTCCTGACTTCGGTTTCCCAACTGGGAACTTTGAAATTGTGAACACCTGTAATGGATTGATATGTATACGCCATTTTCATTCACCAAATGATATTAGCATACTCAATCCCCTTGTTGGTGATTATATCACTCTACCCCTAACGAAGAAGAAACACAAGTCTTATGTTTTTTCCTGGTTTGGGCACAGTCCTAAGACTGATGAGTACAAGGTGATTCAGTTCGTTCAGCAGCCATCGAAATTGGAGGCTGAGATACACACGCTCGGAAAGGGCAGATGGACAAGCATTCATGGAGGTGACCTCAGTCCTCCAATAGATATGAGATGCCATAATGCTTTTGTAGGCGGGTGTCTCCATTGGATTGTTGATGATCCTTCCAAATCAGAATTTATATACTGTCTTGAATTTGGGCGGGAGCTGTTTCAACCAGTTTCAGCACCTCCTCATCTTGGCCCTAATGACAAAGACAGGACTGGGGACATGATGCTAGGAGTATTAGGAGGATGCCTCTACTTCTTTGATTATCCTCTGGGTGACAGTTTTGATATATGGGTGATGAAACAATATGGTGTTCAAGAGTCCTGGACTAAGGAATTCATTTTAAAGAATCCAAGCACAGATATCATATGGTACTGGGACATGTATCGACCAATAAGTTTGCTGAGCAATGGCGAAATCTTGATGTCACATAAATCCAAGGCTATGGTTTCCTATAATCCAGAAGACAGGAGCTTCAAATTTCTTAAAATTTATGGGATTCAAAACTTTGAAGCCAATCCTTATGTACCAAGCTTTCTTTCACCCAGGGAAATTGTTAAGGGAGAAAACACAGGTGCGTCAAACATCTACTCAAGATAAGCACATGCTCTGCAAAGGGATATATAACTGGTTCTGAGTTAACCAGTACCATGTTATTCATTGTAATTCTACAGCATTGTGCCTGCACCTTGTTTTTTTTTATTGATGCAATCTCTTTTATTAATATGCAAACCATGTACTCTTTCCTTTTGCTTGAAACCCTTGTAATAGCAGATTCAAATTCCTTTCTCTGTATATCAACAATGGAGAGACAGAGAATCCTCAAGAAAACATGAGAAGGCTTGCACAAATTAGGAATTTCAAAAGGAACGCCATGGCTATGTAAAATTATAATTTTATAGTAAACCCTTTACAAGATGAGGAAGGCCATCGACGTATTCAATCCCTCTATAATGGGTTTCGGTGCAAGCGCGGTAATCGTTGATATAAATAAGCAAACTGTTCAATACATACAAGAATCCGTTGGCAATTGTTGTGAGCACGGAATCCATAGGTCCAAATTCGTATTCTGGCAAATTGATAAAATCCATCCTAGAGAGATTGAATGCCTTTATGTCCTTTTCTGCTCAGGTTTATCTGGAAACATGGCAAATTATATTGGTCAGATGGCCATGGCCATGGTATCCTTGAGGTAGTACACAGCATTTGCTAAGATCTCAATACATATTTTTTTGTTTAAAAATTTTTAATTTTGATTTTGTGTTTTATTGGTTAATTTTTCAGTTTAATTAGCATGAATGAATTTCGATTGTTGATGTTCTTTCCTCAAAATTTAAATTTAATGATGAACTGACATTTAAATTTTAATTTCTGATTGGGTATTTGTAATAATTAAAAGTGTTTTTTTCCTCCCAATTAAAAGTGTACGCTTTTTCTTCTCTAACGTGATAACAAGGTAATTTGTTATCCCATTATACTTCTTTTTAGTTGCCATATTATACTAAATTATTTATAATTATCACAATTATAAATAAGATAAATCAGTTAAATTATGAGATAAGATAAATTAATTAATATGTCACAAGAAATTATATGAAAAAAATTAATTGCACTGAGCAACATAATTATTTATTTTATTTTATTTTTGTATTTTTAGAAACTATATTTTACATCCTAATATCCTAAAGTTTACAAGTTTTATTTACATCTTTATTTTGACTTGTAACAAAAAAAGGTTAATAATAAAATATCTAGTCATTTATAAAATTATTATTATTATATTTTATTTTATGATTCAAAAGCCCTTCCAATCTTAATATTAAAACTTTACCATCAAATTAGTGTTGTAACTTTGATAAAAATATATATATAAAAAAAATAAACTAACATTTTTATATTTTTATTTCATCAAACATGTTATTTGCAATAGAGAATTAACTTTAATTTTATAATGCTATTTGAATTTTGAATACCTAAAAATCAATCAAAGTTATCTTCTTTTTTTTTCCTATTTTAGTTCGATGTTCTTAATTTAGAAACCAACTCCAACAAAACCACATTCATTCTTCAAACTTGATGTAAATATACCCTGTATAAATTTGTTTTGATTATAAAAAAAAGTTAATTCATATTTTATATTACTTTTGAACAATATATATTCTAGGTATTCTCAATCAATAACATTATAATTTTAAATGTTCTTTGGATACTCATGAAGATTTAGTTCTTTTCTACATAAATGGTAAATATGTTATACTGACACTTAATAATAAATATATGTGTAAAAAAAGAGGTTTTTATATGATCATGTTTATTGACCTAATTTTTCTCTATCTACCCCATCTTTCTATCTCTATGCACAGTTCTTATAGTATTTGTACAAAAATACTATTAACATTTTAACGTTATCTCTTTTAATTGGATAATAACATAACTAGTTAAACAACTTTCTTTATAGCCAACAAAGGAAGGATTTTTCCTTTAAGGCCAGTTACTTGCTCCATAAGGTAAGCATATTGAATAATCTTTCATTATTTTTTTAGTTGTTTAGTCACCTTTATAAATTAAGTCTCGCTAGCTTTGTCACCTTTACTATGTTGAGCTACATTTCTTATTCATTTTTAAATATAAATTAAGGTATTTAAATATCACTATACATGATGATATTAAAAAAAACATACAACTCCATTCTACACATTATTTGTTTATTATTTCTATTAAAACTCTCGCTAAGTTCTAAACTAACTTAAGCACCAGAGAGTTTATTTTGCTGGTATCACCAATCCACTTCATATCACTCTAGTTCAATTGTCAACCATGAAAAAGCCTAGGAAATTTATTGAAGTTTTTCTGAGACTTCACCAGTGATGCTATTTATGGAAAAAATAAACATAAATTATGTTTATTTTCACATCCTATTCATTGTTTCTAAATTTTTTAATGGAAAAAAAATAAAAAATTTAGGAGTAAGAGTAACTTATCTCCGACTATCTTTGGAAGCTTCCATGAGTCTTCAACAAATGAGAGGACTTATTGAGGTTATTTTAGGTATACAAAAGCAACTTAAAGATATCCCCTACAAGTTATAT